CTGTGTGTAAAAGCGTCTGTGTGTAAAATCGTCTGTATGTAAAAGGGTCTCTGTGTAAAAGCGTCTGTGTGTAAAAGCGTTTGTGTGTAAAAGTCTCTGTCTGTAGAAGCGTCTGTGTGTAAAAGCTTCTGTGTGTAAGAGTGTTTGTGTGTAAAAGTGTTTGTGTGTAAAAGTGTTTGTGTGGAAAAGGGTTTGTATGTAAAAGCGTCTGTGTGTAAAAGCTTCTGTGTGTAAAAGTCTCTGTGTGTAAAAGTGTTTGTGTGTAAAAGTGTTTGTGTGTAAAAGCGTCTGTGTGTAAAAGCGTCTGTGTGTAAAAGCGTCTGTGTGTAAAAACGTCTGTGTGTAAAAGTCTCTGTGTGTAAAAGCGTCTGTGTGTAAAAGCGTCTGTGTGTAAAAATATTTGTGTGTAAAAGTGTTGGTGTGTAAAAGTGTTGGTGTGTAAAAGTGTCTGTGTGTAAAAGCGTCTGTGTGTAAACGTGTTTGTGTGTAAAAGTCTCTGTGTGTATTTGCGTCTGTGTGTAAAAGCTCTGTGTGTAAAAGCGTCCGTGTGTAAAAGCCTCTCTGTGTATAATAAAAGCGTCTGTCTGTAAACAGTTCTGTGTGTAAAAGCGTCTGTCTGCAACTTTACGAAAGATACGATGCAAACTATTGTCTTGTACTTGTAATATATTGTTTTGAAACTACTCTTCTCGTCTGCCTATAATACATCTTCAATATATTGTCTTGTAATTTAGTGTCTCCATACTAGCAACAGAAGACTTTGCTCGTCTACGCTCTCGGGCCATCCGTCGTCTAGTTTTCCTTAACAGAACACCATGGGTTAACATTTCCTAAGCCATGGTGGTACCACCAAATATCCCCAACTCATCCAAGCCATTAGACCATTTGAATATTGATACAATCATAGCGATTTGGGAATCCTCCATGTCAAGAAATTTCAAGAAACTCCCATATTGGTTGGTCACCAGGAAATTGAGAAGTTGCCCTTGGTCTATGGCACCTTAAACCATTGGGATAAGTTCTACATCGCCATGACGTGCGTCACTTGGCTGAGCTGAAATCCGAAATCCTGGTGGTTTCTCAGCAACAAAAATAGGGATTTAACCAACAAAACATAGGGCCATAGGGATTTAACCAACAAGAACAGTGGTTTAACCAACGAACATGATGGTATAATGAGACTTCTTAATGTGGAGATATATCTGGATTCACATGACACAACGGCCTCACGGTGAACTTTTCAGGTTGGGGAAGTCATATCATTTCTCCAGAGACATGGCAAGATAAATGAGTGCCCGGTTTGTATTCAAACGTGGCAATGGGAAATCCCCTCGCTAAATGGAATGGTAAAATCATTCTTGGATACTGTACCCCAGGGATCCCATGAATCTAGTTTGGAATTGCTATCCACGCTGGCCAGGCCCCAACAGAAGTAATGGTTTCTACATGTTTCTACCAGGGTATTCTACCAGGGGTGATCCCAAGATCTGGCCTTTGAACCCCTGCCTTTGGTATCTCATGATACCCCCGCAAGAAAGATGCAGAAACAAACGCAATTTATCATTTTCGGATTTGATGCTTTTTGTGGTCATGTTTTGGGTGTGGGTGCTATAGAACCCTGGCATCTCTTTCCAATTGCTGTTTCGAGTCTTGAGCCTCTTAGCACATGCCCGGCAACAACAATGGTGGAAGATGTCCTCGGCATAGGTCATTGGTCTGACGATCAGTTACACCAGCATTTGGGCGCAGAGTTTGATCAGTGCAACCAGTTTCTTGGTGATGATCAATGCCAACAAGTTCGTGATCATCGGCATTGAGGTGCACTTTTAAAAAAAGCTGGAAGCCTCCGGTAAACGTAGCTATGGTCCGGTGCCATGAGGCATTTAGAAATACCATTTACCTCTCAACATGGGGATGTTCCATAGCTACGTTAGTATACCGGAGGGTAAGATATTTGGTGATGTGGATGAGGGACACTTAAACGTTAATTGAGGATATTGACGCTGATAGAGGCAACATGTTCCATATTTTCCGCAGTTGTTTTGTGTGAATAGCGAGAAGATTCAGACATTCAACGTTCAACAACCATGTTCTGTCAACTTCATTCTCTTCAACCGAGATCTTCCCCCCCAATGGTTCGAAAGCTTTAGCCACCTCCTATTTTTAATCAAACATGTGCCATATGAGGTGAGGTACGGTCAAAATTATGGTATGCTGCTACTTGTATAAGGAGAGTTCTCTCATGTCTGGAAAGTGCACAAAACACCGTGTAGCGATAGGCCCCCCGAAAAAGTGATACTGATACTACCTATAATAATTGTGCATTATGTCCATGTCTGAAGTTGTTTTATACAAAGTTACGTACATGCAAGAGGCAAAATTAGCACTACCCCTAGCGATAGCGATGCTCAGTTGTTCAAAAAGTAGCCCCAGACCACAAATAGACCCTTTCCTCCTTTCCTTTCCTCTTTTCCTTTCCTCGTCCTTTCTTCCTTTCCTTTTTCCTTTCCTTTTCCTCTTCCTTTCCTTTTCGTTTCCTCTTCCTTTCCTCTTCCTTTCCTATTCCTGTTCTTTTCCTTTTCCTTTCTCTTTCTTTCTCTTCTTTTCCTTTTCCATTCCTCTTGTTCCCCACCTGCCAGGTGAGGGTTGTTAGATTTTATGTCAGTTGCCTCCTCCTCCTTCTCCTCCTCCTTCTCCTCCTCCTCCTCCGCCTCCTCCTGCCTCTTCCTCCTCTCCTCCTCCTCCTCTCGTTGTCCTCCTCGTCCTCCTGCTCAACTGCGACTCGCGATCCACAGTGTTCGCTGTCGGACCTCAACCACGACCATCCACGCCCAGTGTTCCCTGCCGGACCTCAACCACGACCATCCACGCCCAGTGTTCCCTGCCGGACCTCAACCACGACCATCCACGCCCAGTGTTCCCTGCCGGACCTCAACCACGACCATACACGCCCAGTGTTCCCTGCCGGACCTTAACCACGACCATCCGCGTCCAGTGTTCCCTGCCGGACCTCAACCGCGAGTATCCATGCCAAGTGTTCCCTGCCGGACCTCATGTAGGAATGTCAGATAGACTGCCAGACAGAATGCCAGATAGAATGTCAGATAGGATGCCAGATAGAATGCCAGATAGAATGCCAGAAAGAATGCCAGAAAGAATGCCAGATAGAATGCCAGATAGAATGTCAGATAGGATGCCAGATAGAATGCCAGATAGAATGCCAGAAAGAATGCCAGAAAGAATGCCAGATAGACTGCCAGATAGAATGTCAGATAGAATGTCAGATATAATGCCAGATAGAATGCCAACATATATGCCAGAATATATGTCAGATAGAATGCCAAAATATATGTCAGATATAATGCCAGATAGAATGCCAGAATATATGCCAGAATATATGTCAGATAGAATGCCAGAATATATGTCAGATATAATGCCAGATAGAATGCCAACATATATGCCAGAATATATGTCAGATAGAATGCCAAAATATATGTCAGATATAATGCCAGATAGAATGCCAGAATATATGCCAGAATATATGTCAGATAGAATTGCCAGAATATATGTCAGAATAAATGACAGGTAGAATGCCAGAATATATGTCAGATGAAATGTCAGAAAATATGTCAGATAGAATGCCAGATAGACTGCCAGATAGAATGCCAGGTGGAATGTCAGGATATATGCCAGATAGAATGCCAGAATATATGTCAGATAGGATGTCAGAATATACTAAATATATGTCCAAATATACGTCCTGACATGTCATGGTGGGGATCACACGAAGTAGAGTAATTTATTTAATATTCTCCCTTCAAAAATAGAAAATTATGGGTAGCGATAGGGGCCCCAAAAGCGATACCCGAGTTTCGAGAGCTTAGCGAAGACAATGAGTTTCGACAACAGCTCATATGAACATTGGCGCAAAAAAAAGATCTGCTGTTTCAGTGTCCCAGGCTTGAATGATGGGAAGATATGGGAAGACTTGCAAGAACTCCCTTCCCCTGAAACCAATCCATTGAAAAACTGAAAACTTATATAAGTATGCTTACTTTCACATGACATCCGATATATATACATATATATATATGGTGATCGATCTAAAGGTCCTTGGTAAGGAGTTTTAATTGCGAAAGCCGTGCATGTTATGTTGGAAACCTTCGCGAAAGTTTCTTTCGAGTTCGCGAAAGTAACATGTTTTTTGCGAAAGTTTCGCGAAAGTTGGATATTATAATTATTATGCAAAGGGCTGCCACCCACTGCCGCCCGGGGTCCGGCAGGAGAAGGGCACCAGAGAATTTTGGTTTGGTTCTGGTTCAGTTCCCTGTGTGGTGGTGCTTGTGGACAACCACCTTGCCCTTCATAGGTAGCAGCGGAGCTTCCAAAGGCGAGGCTTCGCGACAGCCACACACCATGGTCCTGAAGCACATCCTTGCACCTGCCGCTGTCACTGCCTAATGATGCCGTTTGAAGTCTCAAGAAACGAGCTCCACATGCAGTAGCCAAGTTTCCAAGCTTTGCGAGAGCCAAACACCAAGGCCCCTGGTGTTCGCTTTTCCTGCTGATGGCCGGGGTCTGTGAATAGGGATATTTTCGCGAAAGTTCCTCGAAAGTTATGCGAAGGAGTGGGCAAAAGTCAAAGTGCATGTTGAAGGGGGTGGGCCAGTAAACCTTGCCAAAAAAACCTAGTCAGCAACAATCTGTCCTGAGAAGGGACTCTGTGATGCTAGCTGCATGTTGATCCGTGATTTTCTGGCGTAATTTGGCAGGTGAACGAATCTTCATAAGAGGTGTTGTTGGCCAACATGGGTCCCGCGGAAGATAAACATGGAGTTCGCGAAAGTTTCGCGAAAGAAACATTTTTATTCGCGAAGAATGGCCGCTCCCGGAAAAAGGAATTTTGATCAACCATCATATACATATATATATATATTAAATATAATATCCAGATAAATTCCATATTAATTCCCATAGATTTTCCCATGGCTCGGCCAGGCCTACGGTCTCCATTCCAAGGCTTTGAACTGGGTTCAGATCCTGGGCGCATCCCTGACGGTGCTGGGCGGCATCCTCTACGGCAAGGCGCGGCAGTGGATCGAACGCGAGGCGGAGCGGCAGACCTTGCTGCCGAAGGCGCTCGGCAAGTGACGAAGGCGTTGTGAGTTGTACCTTTTTGGAGCTGCTGGCACTGGGGAAAATGTCGGGAAAAACGGAAAAATGTTGAAATTCGGCGGAAAAAGGTTGAAGATGTCTGAGGATGAGGGAGTTGAGGGGTTGTCTCGAGTTTTGGGGGAGCAAGGCAACTAAGTAAGATAATGTGGCTGTTGAAGCCGAGCGTTTCAGCCACTTTATGTTTCCAATATCCAGAGCCTGGGTTTCTACGAAAATGAACCCAGGAAACTGAGCGTGCTCCCCTCGAACCCACAGATACTCGCAGGTCATTCATGTCTTAGAGATGTAAAAAAACGATGAAAAAAACAACCTACATCAACCTACACTGACCCATAACATCACACAGTTTTGTAGTTAGATTCACCACCATCCTTTCACTGGAAACGCTGGTGAACTACCCCGCAGGACTGTGGCAAAGGCGGGTGTTGGAATGATGGGAATGGGAACTGGATTGGGGCAACTATCCAGATCGACCGTGAATAGACATATGATGAAATATCGTGGATTTCTGACAATTTGGGGACCGTGTTTTTAGTTTGATAGTGAATCAAACTGGTTCAAACCATTGCAAGCAGAATATTGTAAAGAAGTGATATTGATCATCAGATTCATCAAATGTCGTTTCAGTCAGGACTAAGCACGGTTTTGCGATCAACAATAGCGGATTTATTTGTTTGGTGGTTTTAAAAGTGTCAAACATTCTAATATGTTTACCAGTTTATCATGTTTCACCCATAGAAATGGGATGGTGATATATGAATATATATGATGATTCCCACTGAGTTTTTTTTGCTGATGGGCTAAAATCACCACCCAGATGGTGCTGGCGCACCTGATGCTATATGCTGGGGCCAGTGGCTGAAGACTATTGAACTCCAGATTTTGTGGGTGGTGGCTACAGTCAATATACATACCTTACTGATCCTTACTGTATATTATAGGATGTTATAGGTATATAATTATATATCTATATTTTGACTTCTTTTGAAAATTACAGATGTGATGTGATCCATTTTGCGCACTCGGTGTCGCCGTAGTCAAGTAACATCTTGCCAGCGACCTTGATTGCTGCTCACTTTTTTCCGATATAGCTGTGGGTGGACATTTAACAGCTTGGGAACGACGGATGATGCCCGATATCTTCCCAAAATTGACCGGAAAAAATACCGTTTAACCATCCCATATTTGGGTTTAAACGCCATGGTTTAGTTTCCTCTCAACATCTTGAAACCAATCCATTGACATCTAGGACCTCCTATATAACCGTCCTAGCCCATCCCACTTTTGGTTACTTGACCTACCCTTTGGTGAAGAAACATAACTATGGAACATGGCCCATATTTATAGATAATGTTTCATGATTTTAGCCATTAAAAACGGTGATTTTCTAGAGCTATACGTTAAATATCCTGATCTATTTACCTGGTTGGATTGTTGTCATATCAGATGTCCTTGTCGGACTCAGATGGACCCCATTTCGCTGGGGGGATCAACACGCCACCAGGCTGATGCTGTGACGACTGCTGGAGTACATAAAGTTCATCTGACATGATCTGCAAATGGTTGATGTTTATTGATGTTCATATCTATAAGGCATAGGCATGTTTATTAATGTTTATTGATGTGAGTTTACTGCAGGGCATAGGGCAGTCCTCGTGTTCTTTGGCGGGCCAAAGTTGTGGGCTCGATGGTGCCTCACTGTTGGTCCTGCCATAGACGTACCATGTGAGGATGGTTTAGTATTGAGCCCAGCGTTTGATGTAGCGGAATCACTGGATAATCCTTCAAGTTCATATAGATCATCATGTAGCGACTGTATATTGATTCATCTGATAATATAGTCAATATACATACCTTACTGAGCCTTACTGTATATTATTTGATTCATCTATGATTATTCTTATTCCGTCAAAGGAAAACAAGGGCAACCTGATTCGAAGCGGGAAGTTCCTGGACTAAAGTGCAGATGACGTTCTGTTTCTAGATTGTCATGTTCCATTTTTTTGTTTCTACCTTTTGTGGTTTTACCGGAGAACATACACTTTGGCGCAGAAAGCCAGGATATGCCAAGATCATATTTTTTTTGTTGCACTGGCAGTGCAGCTATGAGCAGCTCGCTTGGTGTTTCTATGCGAAGCCGTGAAGCGGGTGAAAACACGTGACCGTTGCTGCTGAGTGGCACTGAAGTGGCAGGACTCGTTTCTTTTTGATGCGGGAGTGGTATGTAAAGTAGTATGGAAGTAAACAATGAATGCAAGAAGAAATGGTGTAGACCCTCTAGAATTTACCAGAGATATTGAGTTTCCATGCAGGAATCCCTATGTATATAATCCCAGTGTTCCAGCCACGAGAGGCTTTCTTGGAATTTGACAGCGCAGCTGGCCGAAGAAAAGGACATTCCAGGCCACCGTTAAAGCCCAAAGCTATGAGTCTAGAAGATACCACAAATGGCCTCTGGCAAGGGAATATTATGGAAATATTATGTAATGGAATATCATGGGGATATACCCAACAAACGTCGGATATCATGATGATTGGGTAATCAAACATGGCTAGATGGACAGTTCCCTGTTATGAATGGAGGCTCGGAGGCGTCTCCAACGGAAAATCTTCTCAGCCTGGGGGAGGTGATCAATTGCCACGTTTGATCTCACCGGAGGTGATCAACAAATAAAAAAGCTATCATTCACATTGCAGTAATTAATTATTATATGCATATGTCTTCTGATGGAGAGAGAGGGAGAGAGAGATATGTATTATGATTATTTCATATTGTTTCTTGAAATTCGGCTGAGGTGGAACCAACAAAATCATTTCCAGAAGGAAAACCTATTTGTCGTTCCCACAAACCTGAAGCTTAAGGTGAAGTCAGATCATACAAATCCAGCAGCATTTCCACGATGAAGTACAGCAGACTGCTTCTCCGTTGCAGAAACTGTTTGACACGTTCTTTCACATTCCTGTTTGAAATGAACGGCTCACTGATTTCGAGAAGACTACCATCAGACTTCCAAGTTTAGTGGGCAGCAGATGAAGGTTGCAAGACCTATCCACTATCCACCCACTTAGCTCAGATCATAGCAGATATATTCCAGTAATCCAATCTGGCAATGGCCCTGTCCAGGTGTCCCCAGCAATCGGCCAGGAATGGAGGCTATGTTGGCAGCATACAGTTGCAGTTGATGCAGAGCAGCAAATTTGCCCTGGAAGAAGCCATGGAGGAGGGCCGATGGGCTGAGGAGGGCCCAGGAATCTGCTGGGTTTCACCGGTTGGGCACCTACAGCCACCAGTCTCAAATTCGCAAAACATGGGTGGACGCCACCCTCAAGTGCAGGTTTATTATCTGGAGTTACCAAACTACTACGACTGCATACAACTTTGGAACCCGCGCACATCCGCGCACCCATTTCTGAAAGTTCTGTAAACCTTTGCAATACACAAACACACACAGAGAGAGAGATATATATATATATATGTGTGTGTGTGTGTGTGTAAGAGCAACACATGGTGAAACTAGCTGTATGCTCATTGTGAGTATATGCTCATCACTTGGTGGCTGAAAATACTGAGGCCCAGCATCATCACTGTGGTTGGTCGGGTTGGTTGGTCAATGGGCGCACCCAGTGGTGCCCCCCAAATTCGCATTGATGTCCTTCGCACAAGAAGACTCCACACATTTTTTTGGTTTGTATGCCAATTCCATTCTCATTTTCTTCTGCATAAATATATATATAGAGAGAGAGAGAGAGTTGTTGTTTCCACACTTTTTCTTCAGTTCTGCCAACTAAGTTCGAATGTATCCCGTTTCTTTGCCGGTGATAAAACGGTATGCCCACTGGCACTTGGGCGCATCCCAGGTTGTAAGTGGTCACAAGCCTATAGCAGTATACCCTAGTAATCCCTACTATGCGTCAGTTGTATATGGCTCAAAATTAACCACATATTACTTGCCAAATGGGTGGTTTATTATTGTTTTACCCACATTACACATCCAATTGCGTTTGTTCCTCATAGGAAGCTGTGAACCCTGCAGGGGCCGATCCGTCGGCCAGCCGTTGGCGCAAGGACTTCACTTTCCGCATCACAGACCTTAAGTTCTCAAGGGTGGCAGCCACGGGGGGCGGTGGTGCGGATGGGGATTTACCTTGGCCATGAAGCCACAACTCAGGTATGGAATACCGTTGACACTCAACTGAATAAAAGTCCTTTTTTTTGTATAATGAGTTGGCTGAAAAGAGACATGGCATGAGATGGCGTGCAGTTTTGGGGTCATGTCAATACATTTCAAAGGTGTCAAGGTGGGTAGAGGGAATGACGAGTTTGACCGTGAGCCAGTGGGTAACCTCTGACTATTTTAAAATAGCACCAGAAGATTGCTCTGTTTAAAGGTACATCATCTGCAAGTTGGTAATTTTCGATGTATGTTACATCGCCAGAATAGCCCTCAAGTTTCCGACAATTAGACGGTCCTCACAGGACCCTGATCGAAAGTTTTCGAGATTCGATCACACTTAGGATGCCTGAAAAGAAAGTAAAAACACCTTATCATCATGAGCAGCCAGCTGTTGCGGAGAGAGTCTTGGGTTCTTGGTAAACATTCAGAAGATTTAATAGGAGGATTCCACTTGGGGATGCTTCAAATCATGAACATCCATGGGTTTCCTATCACATTTACTCAGAAAAACCCAGCCCAAATGGGGGTTTCCATAAATTTAAATGGGTGTACCGGGTGTACCCCAATAGCTGGATGGTTTATAATGGAAATGCCATCTATAAAGGGATGATTTGGGAATTTGGGGGTACCCCCCATTTTAGGAAACCTCCAAATGATTCTGATAGCACCGGGCGCCAGGCTTTTCAGTAGACTCAGTGCGAGCCTGATGAGCCTAGTTCTCGCACGGCGGATTGCGAGGCAATCGCCATGTCGTTGTGTCCAATTGCGGGGGAAGCCTGTGAGCAGGGACAAATATCCTGGTTGATTAGTAGTCATTAACGTTAGTAAGCAGTATCATAAACCACATAGTTTGATGGTTTACATACCATTTATGGTTAATGGTGGAATGGTTTACTATATAGTGCTTTACCACCATTATAGAGGAACCTATTAAACATCATACTACTTGGTTTCGGAATTCGTGTCACCCACAATGGCAACTCCTGTCAGTTGGCGAAGTTTGTTGGTGGTGACTTATGGTGACCGGGCAGGGGGCGCCTTTGGACACAGCCTTCTTCCAGACCATTGCCTCTGGGGCACCATGGCCCATGGCTGGCCTCATCATTGAGGTTGCCCTGCCCAGGAGTCCAATTTCGGGAGCAACTTTTGGGTGAACATTCGACATTTTACCTCTCGATTTGCCCAATTATTTTATATCCCCCTATTGTGTCTGTGGTGGGATCAAGATGATCAAGCGTTGCTGGCTGGACTGGGCCATGGTGGCAGTGAGATTTTGGGAGTTTCAACTCAACTCCTGGTGCACTGCAGCTGGGATGCTGCCAAGCCACAGTTAGACATAGTTAGACCGGCATTAAATGCTGAAGATCATTTTGAGGCTTCAGCGTGCCGTGGTGCCAAATGCATTCACAGCTAAAGAGTTGCAGGGGCAACGGCGGTGGGAAGTCAAAGAGCAAATCGGGATTGATACGGCAAATTGATTATGAATAAGCTAATAATTATAGCCGTGTTGGATTAGAAGTTATGTGAGACCTGCTTCACTTAGTCGCCCTCGAATTTGCAGAAGATCAGGGTCCTCAAAAAGGATCGGTTCTACGTCATTATTTATATATATAGGTTCCTCGATATGGCTACCCTGGGGATGCTCAAAAAATAAATCCGCAGCATTCACCAAATGTTTGAAGTGGCTTCGCGGGCCAAGACAGGAAGGTGGCATTAACCAACTCACCTGCAGACATTGATTCCTGAGATTTCCTGGTATTTTTGCATTTGTTTACATGTTCTTCCGGATTTCCATCAAGCAGAAGCCGAAGTGGCCAACTGACAAGGGCAAGACTCACAGCAGTCAGTAGCAGTTGCCGAATATTGTCGAATCATCTCCATGTCATTTCTTCGCTGTTGTTTCTGGCCCATACTGAGAAGTGGCTTCATCAACACAGCTTTGCAGGTTTGAACGCGCACATGACCCTGGAAAATTGGATGACACGAGTGAAATCAGCAACCCACCAATGCAGATTCAGAAGGATACATACAGAAGCAAGGCATTTCAAGGGCTAGCTGATCCTACATCATTCAAATATATTCAAATGCCATGTTTCCAACAAACATCAAAGAACAAATCAATATAAATCAATGTAAAAAAATAGCCACCAAACAAAACCCAAAGCGTGCTTTAAAAAAAAAACACAGTTCCAGGTGTGTTTCATCCTGACTCGTCTCTGGCAGCTCTGCTCGCCATGTTGGCACCCCCAATGCACGCGGCGCACACTTCACTGACGCCTCGCAGCTTTACACCGGGGATCCGGAGGCTCCGGTTTTTTTTGAGAGCTGGCCGCTGTGGGAGTGCACTTTTTTCCATGCAGTCATTACATTAATCATTATATTAGTCATTATATTAGTCATTATATAAGTCATTAAATAAATCATTATTTTTATCATTATATGAATCATTCTATGAATCATTATATTAGTCATCAAATGAATCATAAAATGAATCATCATTATATCAGTCATTAAATAATTCATTATTTTAATCATTTTATTAATCATTATATTAGTCATTATATATATATATATCATTATATTAATCATGAAATTAGTCAATAAATTAACAAGTATATCGGCCATTACAAAAATCATTATATTAATCATTATCTTAGTCATTATAAAAGTCATTAAATAAATCATGAAATGAATCACTATATTTATCATTATATGAATCATTATGTTAATCATTATATTAACTATATTAGTCATTGCATTAGGCATTATATGAACCATTACATTAATCATTATATGATTCATGATAATAATCATGATATTAATCATTAAACTCTTCATTTTAATAATCATTAAATTAATCATTTTATTAATCATTCTAATAATCATGATGTTGATCATTTTATTAATCATTATATTGATCATTATATTAGTCATTATATGAATTGCTATTTTAATCATTGTATTAATCAGTATATTAATCATTATATCAATCATTATACTAATCATTTTAACATTCATTATCTTAGCCACTGTATTTATCATTAAATTAGTCATTAAATTAATCATTATATTAATCATTTATTAATCATTTTATTAATCATTACATTACTCATTATATATAAACTCATTAAATTAGTCAGTATTTTACTCATGATATTATAATCATTGTATTCATCATAATAGTAATCATTTTATTAATCATTCTTAAAATATAATCATGATACTAGTCATTAAAAAAGTCATTATAAAAGTCATTAAATGAATCATGAAAAGAATAATTATATTTATCATTAAATGAATCATTATATGAATCATGTTATTAATCATTATATGAATCATGATATTAATCATAAAAAATTGGTCAATAAATTAACAAGTATATCAGCCATTACAAAAATCATTATATTAATCATTATCTTAGTCATTATAAAAGTCATTAAATAAATCATGAAATGAATCACTATATTTATCATTATATGAATCATTATATTAATCATTATATGAATTATATTAGTCATTGCATTAGGCATTATATGAACCATTACATTAATCATTATATGAATCATGATAATAATCATGATATTAATCATTAAATTCTTCATTTTAATAATCATTAAATTAATCATTATATAAATCATTATATTCATCATGATATTGATTATTTTATTTATCATTTTATTAATCATTGTATTAATCATTTTATTAATCATTATATTAATCATTATATTAGTCATTATATTCTTGAAAAAATAAGTCATTACATTAATCATTATATTAATCATTACGTCATTATATAAGTCATTAATGAATTTTGGTTTTTCCAGGTTTTTTTTGCAGTTTGGCCTGGGGGGCGCAGGTGTGCAAATTGTAGAGACGCGCATTTTTTTGAGAGGTACTGTGATGAAAGCATCTTCACATGAAAAACATTCAAAACAACAATGGAAAAAACAAAAAAAAAGTTCAGACCCATGGGCAAGGTCTGGGAGAGGCCTGGCAGGGGACATGGGTCTGAACTTTTTGTTTTTTTGGTTTTTCCATGGTTTTTTGCAGTTTGGCCAAAAACCTCGAGAACACAAAAAAAAAGTTCAGACCCATGGGCAAGGTCTGGGCTATCCACACACAAACCAAAAAACCAAAAAACAAAAAAAACAAAAAACCAAGAAACAAAAAACCAAAAAACCAACAAAAACAAAAAAAACAAGATTGCACACCCCAAGGGGAGGGGGTCAGATGCAGAGTGTTGGGTCTTGTCTTTTTGTTTTTTTTGTTTTTTTTGGTTTTTTGTTTTTTTGGTTTTTTGGTTTTTTGGTTTGTGTGTGATAGCCCAGATTGCCATGAACTAGCTTGCACTGCAGAAAACGAGGCAAAAACCAAAAAACCAAAAAACCAAGAAACCAAAAAACCAAAAAACCAAGAAACCAAAAAAACAAAAAAACCAAAAAAAACAAGATTGCACACCCCAAGGGGAGGGGGTCAGATGCAGAGTGTTGGGTCTTGTCTTTTTGTTTTTTTTGTTTTTTTTGTTTTTTTGGTTTTTTGTTTTTTTGGTTTTTTGGTTTGTGTGTGGATAGCCATTGCAGATGTGCCAAGCAGAGATTGCCAGGCACTGTCAGTGGTTGCACTAGAAGCAAGGTCGATACACTACAGTACAGCAATGTTTGCTATGACATAGTGCATTCAGCCAATGAACAGCAGAGAGGAATGGAATTCAATTTTGTCCGGTTGCGCCATATGCTGTTGGATCTTTGCACAGGAAATGCTGCAATTTGCGCACTCCCACAGTGGCCTGTTCTGTTTTTTTTTTGGATGATACCAGTGGGACTCAGTGGGTACCCAGGGGGGTGTCATCAAATGTGGCTGGAAAATCCATGAAAATCCTCCATATTTTGAGGGTTTGAATGAGAAAATCATTTTGCCATCTGGCCATATTTGATGACACCGGAGGGTATATTGATGACATTTGATGACCCGATGAGCCGATGAGCGAATGTAGCATAGATATATGGGAAATTGCCGATTTCGAGATGATGTTCAGTGATTTTCCACTGCTAAGTGTTAACTTACCAGAGGAATCCACGAGGATACACACACACACACATATATATATATATATATAACAGTCAGCATCAGTTGGCCATGGTTGGCCATGGTTGGTCAATAGATGTCAATAGCTACGCTGTATGGAGATTCATCAAAATATAACATAACAATATGGTAGTCTCAATTTTTGTGGAGATGTTGGGTGCCTAGGTTTGGTTTAACAACTTTGATGGAGATCAGTTCTTGATAGTTTACTATGTTTCCTGAAATTTCAGGTTTAGGCATAATTACAGTGTTCACCAGGGTCGTTGAACAGCTGACCCGTTTGGGGTAGCGATTCCAGTTTGGGAAAGCTAACCCAAGCTGTTGTAAAGATCGAGCACCATTAAAGTCATAAGTCTATATATATATATTATATATATATACATAATTCATTATAATTCCTTCCCCCTGATATTTGAAACTATAGGTTTAAAAATTTGAATATTCAACAAAACCCAGATCAGTGGGCGTCAGAAGTTCAGCTGATTCCAGGCTCTCCTTGTCCCCAGCTCCACATTTGAAGGCGCAACGCATGAGGGCACAACGCGGGTGACTGGGAACCGAAAGGATCAACACGTGTATCTATAGCCTATAGTTACGTATAGTATCATAATATATCATAATATACTTCCTTTTTTTGGACGAAACATGACTAACTACAAAAATCGGCTGTAAGGATTTCTTAAACCTCCTGGCAGCGGATCCTGCCGTCAGGCGCAGGTGCCAGTGGTGATGAACCAGGAGCCTTGGCAACTTTTAGTCACCATCCCCAACTGTGCCGGTAAAAACCCCAGACAATCCAGTTAGGGGATGACCCCAGTCATTGGTTCGTGGGATGTTTTATGGCATTGGGTTTTCCACATTACCGTCAACCCCGGAGCAATAAACCGTTGATTGCAGTAGTTCGGAGGTTGCCCAAAAAAAGCTATAATTCGCTACCAAAAATAGTGATAGATTGCAGCCAAAGAAACAGCCGATTGCCTTTCTTGGAATTGGCCCCCCAATGGC